TGTGTGTGTGTGTGTGTGCAGGTGGTGCAGGCTCCACTAGTTGTGTGTGTGTGTGTGTGTGTGTGCAGGTGGTGCAGGCTCCACTAGTTGTGTGTGTGTGTGTGTGCAGGTGGTGCAGGCTCCACTAGTTGTGTGTGTGTGTGTGTGCAGGTGGTGCAGGCGTGCGGCGCGGTGGGGTTGTTGCACGACGTGTACGGCAGCTCGGTGGCGGACCACTTCTTCCTCGGCGGCGCGGCCTCCCTGCGCGGCTTCCAGCACCGCGGCGCCGGCCCGCACTGCGACGGACACGCGCTCGGCGGACGGGTCAGTGCATCACTCGCATTGCTGAACTATGACTCTCCTCTACTAATGAGTTTGTCATAAACTTCCTCAAATCCCTAGAGGCCAGCAACGGACTCGTGATTCCTCTGGTGTTGCGGGTGTCTCTAGGCGACGCCGATCGCTAACGATCACGTGATCTGTCTGCTCGTTTGTCTCCCTGTTCCATGAAAAAGTCTCCACGTTTGGCTGACGAGTTAGAGATCGCAGTTTGAAGGATCAGGTTTATTAGACAACACTGACATATGCCTACTGGAAAAGTAGGAATGGTGCTAAACGTATTCTACTCGTGAGTGGGTCGTACTGGTCTGTGAATATCTCTGCTCGGTACAGATGTACTGGGCGGGCGGTCTGCACGTGTTCGCGCCGCTGCCGGTGCCGGGCGCCGGTACTGGGCTGGGCGCCTTGTTCCGGTCGCATCTGTTCCTCAACACCGGCTGCGTCGCCTCCCCAGGTCAGAATCTACAATTACGATTAGGTACCTACCTCTCTCACTCGATAGCGTCATCATCTTGCAGTCAGCCACCCTCTGTCCACCGCCTGATGTAGTCGTCCCCAATGATTTATTTGTCAAAATATACCTATATAATATGTATATACCTACGTAGTTGAAATATAACTCGAGTTACTTGCGTTGATTTTGTCGCAGTCTTAGATAATTACATAGCAGTTTTCTGAGTTGCGTCGCGCAGATTCTACAGGTCCGTGTCGTCAGTCCGTGATGGCTAGAGCCTACAACTGCCTACAAGTACCCAGTGGCCAGTCGTTAGTCCCTCGCTGAGTAGCAACTAGCAAGCATTGTTTACAGAGCGTGGTTCGTCCGGCGAGTGGTGGCGCGAGCTGGGCGCGGCGCGGGGCGCGGGGGGCGCGGGACTGTGCCTGCGCCTGGGCCGCGCCGCGCGCCTCGAGCTCAGCTACGTGCTGCCGCTGCGCTGGATGCCCGGCGACAGGACCCACGCAGGCATACAGCTCGGACTCGGAGCGAACTTCCTATAGTTACTACCACGCTGTGACAGCTTGTCACATCGAACGGAGAGACTGTCATCGACTGACGACAACGATGCAACGTTCAATCCTTTGTCGGAGTTGCAATATTGGATCTACATCGACGCTACACCGTGTGTCGTTGGTGTAACACTACAATATGTAGCGCCTTCACCTTGACAAACGTTGCGCTACATTAGCGCCCTCTAGTTTACGGTAGCGTATTTGACGTGTTTGCTATTGAAGTGTCGCGTGTAGTGTATGTAACTGTCGCGCTCGTGTTGCGCGGCGCCGCGCGCGGCTGCACTCAGTGACTGTCTTGTGAATTCTGTGATAATTTGTTTTAAATCGTAATTATTATAAAGTATTGTTTGTACTCTCGCTGTTTCATTCCGCGCAAAGCTCGTGAAAGAGCGTTGATTCGTATTCGTATAGAATCATAGAACCAATAAACTACCTTCTTTGAGGGGACAAGTTCATTCAATGACTTCTCCCACCTCCGTGAGGCGGGAGGGAGTGTCATACTTTTACTGACTAAATACCCCCCCGTTCTTCTCCTGCAACTTTCAGCCGGAGCTCCGGCAACCCGTTAAGTTCTCCGCGACATCTCTAACGCCTGGAGTGTCTCTCGCGAGCTGCGGCGTGAGGAGGTTCGTTCCCTCACGTGTCCCACCTCGTCCTTACACAGCATCCCAGTTCCCCTCGCCCAGCACCATGGTCTGAACCAGAAGGCTTAGTACGAGTTTCTTTTTCGTTGAAAGTAATCGAAACGAGACGGCGTCCGGCGCTCTGATTGGTTGGTTCATTCGAGCCAGCCAATGACAGCGCCGAACGCGTACTCGTTACGATTACTTTCAACGTAAAAGAAACTCGTACTAAGGCCTCAGAGCCGGACGCGAGAGGTCGCCGTCGCTAGCAATAAACTACCTACTACTTACTAATAATAATACATATGACGGCGCCGCCGTCATTATTTTGTAAACTGCGAATGTAATGGGCAAGCAGTGAACAAACAACTGGCCGACGTCACTTCAACCCCACCACCGAGTGATATATAAAGCAGCGCAAGCGCAAGCTCGGGGATCGTTCGTCAATCGTTGCCCAGTTCACACGTTACGCAATCGCTGAGTAATTTTATTGTGCACTGTCGAAAGTAAACGTTACTTTAATTACGAAGATTTAATTGTTTTATTACTGCATAAACATACCTCTACCGATATATATGACGAAGAGGGTTCTCGCTTGACATCGCCCACACCATCCTTCCGACACATACATATTTGGTAGACATATGGAGCACCTTGCGTTGGTCTTCCTGAAACTACGTGATGGTCCAGGGAGATTCTTCTTTCCCTGGCAATTTACCTAGGGTTAGCGTCACGTGCAGTCTTCGGATGAGTATCGGTATTTTACGTGAACCGACCATCTGTCATCCACTTTTTTTTTTAAGGGGGGAAAATCATCGAATGACTGCTCCCGCCTGGGTGAGGCGGGAGGGAGTGTCAGACTCTTACTAAAAACCACCCCGTTCCTTCTCCTGCACGTCGAGCCAGAGCCCCGGTTACCTGTTAGGTTATCCGCGACATCTGTCATCCACTTACGACTTGACTAAAAGTGATCCCTGATACTGATTGTAAATAAGACCTTGGCAAAAGTGTTAAAAAAGCGAGTGAGACCAATAAAACACACTGAACAAACAATATAAATAAGTTTATTAAAGAACACTATCTCTATATATTATACTATATGACGCAAGTGGCGGCCCGGCGGGGCGGCGGCTACCAGATGGGTTTGTTGAAGACGTCCTGGTAGTGCAGCTTGGTGTGGAGCATGTCGTCCGGCGACATGTTCGACACGAACAGCGGCGGCATCAGCGCGCCCGCCACCGACCTGGCCACGACCACACAAATGTTAATTATCTATACTCATATTATAAAGCTGAAGAGTTTGTATTTTTGGTTTTTGTTTGTTTGTTTGAACTCGCTATTCTCCGCAACTACAGGTCCAATTTGAAAAATTCTTTCTGTGTTGGATAGCCCATTTATCGAGGAAGACTATAGGCAGAGCGAGTGAAACCGCGCGGAAGTAACTAGTACAACAATATATTGCAAGACGTCCACTGCTGAACATAAACGTAGGCCAATGATTTCAAAGTGACTTTATACAGGGGGCTTCAAGTGTCGGGTAACGATACATTATTGATTATTAATTTACGCCGCGGTATGAAACATTACGCTCTTTGTTTTCTTGGCTAATATTACGTAACATAACATCACGCCTTTAATCCCCAAAGGGGTAGGCAGAGGTGCACATTATGGCACATAATAATATGCCGCCGTACAATGTAACACCCACTTTTCACTATTTATGTTATAAGTGGGATATAATAGGGGGTGAGCCTGTGGAAATCCTAGTGTTGGGCAATGTTAAAAACAGAAACGTTCCAAAAGTGCCGCGAAATGTTGTGCCTAAAGGTCCCAGCGCAGTGTACGCCGGCCGTGTGTGTGTTAATGAATGTTCGCATGTGTGTATACGTGTGAATACATGAGTGTCGGCAGCTACCTGCCCTCCGAGTTGAGGAAGTTGAAGGTGGAGCAGGCGTGCTCGGTGGGCAGCACCTCCGCGTTGAGTCCGACGGCGGCGGCCGCGCGGCGGACCGCGTCGGCGCGCTGCCGGTGCTTCGCTTCTAGACCTATTACCTGCACCGTGGAATTACAGCACCAAAATAATTTTATTAACACGTTAAACGCCATGGCAGTCACTGGTGACCGACATTAGCGGAGGATTTGCCTTCAATAGTTTTTTATTGGCAGCCAATGCCTTAAAATCAAAATGATATTAAGCCCAATTTCTTCATGAACGCCTTCATTAGGACCCCCCCCGCCCTTTCTTCTTATTTGGTGAAAAGTACACAACACGAAAACTGAAGTTGCTACACCTTGTGTAGTAGGTAGGTACTACAAGTTCAAGTATTACTTGGCACCATCATCACCATCACCAACAGCCGTAAGACGTCCACTGCTGGACAAAGGCTCCCCCTTAGTGTTCTTGTTGTAATTACTACATAGTATAAAACAAAGTCGCTATCCGCCGTCTGTCTGTCCCTATGTATGCTTAGATCTTTGAAACTACGCAACGGGTTTTGATGTGTTTTTTTTTAATAGATAGAGTGATTATTAAGGAAGGTTTATATGTAGGTTTATACATGCATATTGCACCCGAGCGAAGCCGAGGCGGGTCGCTAGTTATGTATTGATGCAATACATTCAAGTGGAGCAGACACATTGACGGTTCCGACAGTAAAGGAACCAAAGTCCTTGTATACTTTTGTAAAGATAGCACGGACAGTGTTTTTTAGTTTCCAAACGGCACTCCAGTACGAGCTGGAGTAACAGAGCAATATGTTCGTACTCACGAGCAGGTCTATCTTGGGCACGAGCAGCTTGAACAGTATGAGCGACTGCTCGGTCACGTGCGCCGCCTCCGTCACCTGCCACGACATCACCGTCCTGACACCGAAACAATACACAACATAACATCACGCCTTTTATTCCCGAAGGGGTAGGCAGAGGTGTACACTTTACCTATTTATGTTATGAGTCCCACGTAATAGGGAGTGAGCCTATTGCCATATACCGGGCACAATTCCAGACTCCGTGCTACTACTGAGAATTTTTTAAATACTTTGGCCGACCCGGGAATCGAACCCGAATCAGAAACATAATCTCACATACATATGAGCAATGTCTTAAGTATAATATACTTAAGACATTGCGTATAATATTAGATTGTATAATATAATATTGTATTTAGTATAATATTATTAGATTAGGTTAGGTTAGGTTAGGTTACGTATTGGATTTTCGAAACATCACATATTAAGTGATAACCATATAACTAAGACACAAAACTGCCTCGTTGGCCGAACGGTCGCAAGTGCGACTGCCGGGCAAGGGCTGCACGGAGCACGGAGTCTGGAAATGTGCCCGGTATATGGCAATGGGCTCACCCCCTATTACATGGGACTCATAACATAAATAGTGAAAAGCGGGTGTTACCTACATTGTACAGTGGCATTAAGTGCCGTAATGTGCACCTCTGCCTACCCCTTCGGGGATAAAAGGCGTGATGTTATGTTAAAACACAAACAATATAAATTATTTTATTGAAATATTTCACATTTTTCAAATAAAATTGCAATTATTTACAGTTTTACAGCGATGCTGCCTACTCTTGTGAAGCTTTTATCAATGAAATTGAACAAACGCAATACACGTAAAAGTGAAGTATCGAAAATTCAATCCGTAACACACTGTAGGTAGAGGACATATGTAAGTACTGACCTGGGGAATATGGCCATAGGCCCCAGCACTGTGAGCCCGTTGTTCAGCTTGAACCCGTACTGTGAACACATATATTTTATGTTTTACAATACAATTCGTTTCCATCTTCACTACATAGTATAAAACAAAGTCGCTATCCGCCGTCTGTCTGTCCCTATGTATGCTAAGATCTTTAAAACTACGCAACGGATTTTGATGCGGTTTTTTAATAGATACAGTTCTTAAGGAAGGTTTATATGTATAATATACCCGTGCGAAGCCGGGGCTGGTCGCTAGTTAAACATAAAAGTCAATAAGAAGCTTGCTTCATACACTCCTTACACTGAAGCTAGCTTTAGTGTTTCAACTGATCTACGACCATAAGTCGTAGATCAGTAATTGTTGCAAGCAGCAGCAATCAGAAATCATTTCAAAGAAACATCAAAGGGCTAGGCGAGGGATTTAGTCGTCTCCTATAAATAAGACTGATGATATATCTCATATGAAACTGAAAAGTATGTTTGTTTCATTGTCACACTAATCTTTGGAACTAGTGATTCAATTACAGGATTTTTTTTGTTGGATAGTGCATTATTGAAGAAGGTTATAAAACATCATGCTGCGATCAATAGGAGCTGAGCGGAGTGGGTGAACCGCGCACCAGAACCCAGTAATAATATATGTTTCATAATATACAGTAGCATAGTGCGTGCAGTCACCGTGGCGTATGTGTCTATCATGAGCCCCGCATCCTCCTCCTGGTTGATGACGCGCACCGTTGTCTTCCCCTCGCCCTCGTACGCTGCCTTACTGCGCACTGCACTGCAATACATGCAACCAGGCAAGATTATTTCACAACTATACGGAGTGTAAACAGAATACTCTCAAAACACAGAAAAAAAGAAATTGTTTTTATATTTTGTTTTTGTATTCGTGTTATTCATACAACATCAGCGTCGAGCAGTTGATTACAACTATTGTTACATGAAAGAAACGTTTAATTCCTTACTTCTATGACAATAATACTTGTTTTTTACCGCCACCTGTCGGCGTTTTTGGGGAGAGCTCTGTATACACTCTGTATTGGAACTAATTGGATTTTGTATCTATATAATGTTGAGTTTGTTTTCAATTTCATGGTTTAATAACATAACTGGTGAAACTAAAAAGTAATAGAGCTTGTTCTGTGACTGGTTGACCAGGAGGACCATTGAGGAGGAGATTGACCTCAAAGCGCAAAGCTCTAACTTTACTTTCTATGTTTATAGTAAGATATTAATAAGTTTTTAATTCATAAACTAAGGTTGCGTACTGACCAAATAATGACTTAAACAGCGAGAAAAATACTGTTTACATGAAAACTAACCTTACTACAGGACTTGCATGTTTCAATAGTTTCGCTCGAGCTATCGTATTCGCTAACATTGTATCACTTTGGTTCGACTATTACGCTTAACTTTCCATCAATTCCTATTTAACAATAATATAATTACACTAACTGTTCAGCCAACAAAATAGCAACCACTGTTGTTATTATTCATCGTTACATAAAGTCCCCAATGCCATTGCAAAAAGTACTTTGTCTCTGTTTGTCTTGAGTCGTACGTGCGAGAGTAACAGAGACAACAATATTTTTCATGCTAAATTTCACTACTCTGTATATTTTGATGTTGTATATGTTATAGTGACAGTACTGATAATGTCAAAATTACTTTTTAATTTTACGTTGTTTGTTTATTTTTAATCTGTGTAGAATGTTCTACAATATCTTTATTAAATTTCCAATAAAAACTTAAATAATATTAAAATTAACTATTACAAAATTAATAATAAAATATATACAACTTAAGATTAAAATTATATAAAAAGCACGTTTAGTTAACTGTTTTGTAACATCGGTAAACAAAGTAATATAAATATTAAGATCCTGTCCTGTCCTGATAACCTGATTGTCTTCAAGGGCCAAGTAAATAGGTTGCTGATGGGCACACATGATTCATCATAGACCGCATCATCACTTAACAGCGGTATATGGAACAAAGGGGGACATATTCTCAAAATAAAAAGTAGGGCCTTGTCATGTTTCTTGGCTTTCTCAGTGCTTTGAGAGAGTCTGTTACCCCGAAGAATCTGAAAATAGGGTCTGTGGGTATCCTTATATAGATATTACTAAAGATGTGACTGACATTTCGTTTAGGGGGCTGTAGAAAGGAGATGAATAAGTGAAACAACAGAATAGTAATTTTATTTTCATTTTATTTACTTAACCTAAACTTATGAGTTACTTACATGCACTAAACTTATAAATATTTAAATATTACTAAACTAGACATGGTCCCTCAAAGAAAATTATGTACTTATATAATTAATTAGGTACTTATTGTGTATCTGTCGCACTCGGAGACATTAAATGATTACTTAAACTATTCCTTGGTAACGATTTTGTTTCGAAAACAATTGCTGAGGACTGGGTTACGTCACCATTCAATGACTCCGAGTACGACTGTAAGACAAACAAAACTTTATAATATTAAATTATTAAAAATCCTACAATAATAAAATACACAGATCAGCGCTTACTTCGTTCCTTATAATTAAAAATAAGTAAATTAATTCGTAGTCGAGAGAGACTCCACATCACAGACGCACACTTAATGATATTTGGCTTTGAATTTAAAATTAAACATCACACACTTATCTAAAGTACACAACACGCGCTTGTAGCATGCTACTGTAACAAACACTATGCAACACGTAATGTAACGCGATGCAACGCAACGTGTTACACCACACGATGTTGTGTTAGAGAAAAATTGAACTTTAAAATTATTGACAAAACGTTCTAAATTAAAATACTTAAATCTAATGTCGTGAGTCTGTTACTTAAACTTAGGTAATAACTAACCAAGGGGACGATGTTTCAGTCCTTACAACATAAATTGATGATAACTTGAGGGAAAGTAATGAAAATCAAGTTTTTAATAGAAAGGTTAGAGTTAAGACAATGATTCGTAATGTTGCAAGCACTGTTACACCGTGTAACACCTTACAATGTAGCTGGCAGAGCTTGTATCACATATACTACTTACAACTACTTATGTGTATAAATAGGAAACATTAACATTTGTACATTATAAGAAACAGCCAGGCGTATACCTACTTACATGTAGTTAGTCGCAATCATTTTGAATCTGAGTACATTATTAATTGGATAAGAATAAATTAATAAAAAATCGACTTTATGTCAACCACATAAAGTTGTTAATTAAACATTACCAATAATTTGGTACAATGTTTTTACAAAACTACATAATTATAATAATATTCAATGGACATATATTCGAGTCTAGCTTCGCCGGGCATAACGATATCTACCTTCAAATAATTTTAATAAAATATTGAGGAAAATACAATATTCCCAAGTCACATAATAAAACATCATTCTATCTCCTTTTGTCTTTGTACAATTAGACAGAGACAAACATACCTTCATCAGATACTCGTTAAATATAAAATAAGTAACATTACTTATCGTCCTAACTTAGAATAGACAGTCAAGATCACAGATACGATATAAATGAACATGTTGCAGGGTACGTTGCACGTTGCGTGCTACAGTACCCGCAGTGTCAGTATAGTTACACGTTACGTGTAGTGTGTCGTTGCGCGTCACGTTGCAGCGTCGCCGGCTTGTTGCTGCAACAGAGTCCAGTACAGACCGCGACGTCTCACGAGCTCTTCGTGAGTACCACTCTCTGCCACTACACCTGGAATACGATCATTTATGTTACTATAGTACTTAAAATATAGAACTCTCAAAAAATATTTAGATTCTCGTTAAACATTTCAATTTAGCATCCAGCTAACAGCGGCTAGACGGCGAAATGTTTGTTTTGACGTTTCTCTATGTATGGCTCGATGTCTGATAGTATTTATGATGATAAAGTATATATTCGCAACATAACTCTGTGACATATCGAAGATGACAAATTAATGTATTATTTTAGTGTAAACTTGACCTCTTGGGAAACGACAACATAACTCGAGTCCCATTGAAACTAGTAAGGATTTTTCAATTGAGTCGTAATTTGAATGAATTATATTATAGAAATATGTTTACCTTGATCAATGACACAGATGAGGTCCGCATGTCGTACAGTGGCGAGCCTGTGCGCGATGATGATAGTAGTTCGCTCCGCCGCCGCCGCCTCCAGCGCCTCTTGTACTGACTGCAGCAAACATTATTGGTCTTAGTATACTGCCTGGAGGAACTCCATGACGGGACTTCTAATTTAACTACGTAATAAGAAACGTAGGTTTCTCCGAGAACTTGTTTTATAAACGTTTAATCCCACGTTTTTATACTAATACATACAAACATACAACTTCATTTATACCCTGTAGTGTGTATAAAACAAAGAAATTTACCGTGATGGAATCGAACCCACAACACATTGCACTACAGTTGGTGGCTACAGACCAGTCTATATAGTCTACTGACTATCATAGACTGCACTTTGGTGTATCATTATCATAGGCCTTGTTTACAGGAGATATTGACATCAAAGCAACATTGACGAAAGCATCGAAAGCCTAAGACGAATCATAAATGTATTATTGCGTCAGACTGTATACTCCTTAGTTACGATTTTGTTCTGCAATCCATTGCTAAGGACTCGGTCAAGACTCGAAAGCATTTATTTCAATTAAGACTTTTATAAATAAATAATAATCTGTCAGTCTGGCCATCAGTGAAGCTAGGTACTCGTTCCAAAATAGGTTAAGACATTAAAACGTGAATGTGTATTATTGTATGATTTACCTTCTCACTGCTAGCGTCGAGTGCCGACGTGGGTTCATCCAGTAATAATATTTTAGGGCGTCGCAGTAGTGCTCGCGCTATACCGATCCTCTGTTTCTGTCCCCCAGATAGGGACGCTCCGCTGCCGCTCCCCAGTATTGTGTCGTAACCCTAGGGGAGGATAGTTAGGTTAGTATGGTGCTAGAATAATTTTGACTGTGGTGTTCCTCAAGGTACAGTCCTCGGTCCTGACCTGCGGCAGCCCCATGATGAAGCTGTGGACGTTGGCCTGCCTGGCGGCGTCCATGACGTCGTCCATGGCGGCGTGCTGGCCGGGCTCGCCGTAGGCGATGTTGTCCCGGACGGAGGTGGAGAACAGCGCGGGCTCCTGCTGGACCAGCCCGAGCTGCGCGCGCAGCTGACGGAGCGTCAGGGTGCGCTTGATGTCCTTGTTGTCTATCGTCTGGGATAGAGAATTATTGTTACATTCAATTAGTATGCAGAGTAGATGTAGAATACAACTGTGTCGCCACTTCTGCTCTTTAAGGGACGTTTTATAGACAACAGGTAATCTGAGGAAGGTACAGGTAAGGTAAAGGAAGCAGGGTATTGGAGATTGTAATCGATCTCCAACCTGTTTGCAAAGCGTGAGTTGCTAATATCTGTCCCTTTATAGAAGGACAACCCATTTTGCCGCGGTTTCGTTTCGGCATAAATTAATGTCTAGACATTTTTTCACACATTACACACAAGCAATGAGTGGTAGACTGACCACGGTCCCCCCACTGGGGTCGTAGTTCCTCATGAGTAGCTGCAGCAGGGTGGACTTCCCGCAGCCACTGTGACCCACCAGCGCCGTGCTGGACCTGGCCGGGACTGTCAGCGACAGACCGCGCAGTACCGGGGTCTGTGCCCGGGTCGGGTAGCTGAATGACACGTCGCTAAACGACACTGTGCCTTCTACGTTCTGTGGGAACAATATATTACATGTTAAGAGTCTGTTGAAAGAAAATAGTTATTGTAAAGATATTAAGGAATTCAGATATACATAGATGTTTGGATGAGTTATAAATTAAGACTATTGGCCGGGTGACTATTGGCGACCACGTAGTGAATATAATTTGAGAATAATCTAACAGATGGCGTGCAGAAGTCTCCAATCAAATGTTTGGGTCTGAATGACAAAGTTATTGGTAGACGCCTATGGCCTATATGTTATGACGATAAAGTTATAAATTAAGAAATGGTATGTACCCAGTCCGGAATCTCCTCGGCGGTATCCTCAGTATCGACGCGGGGCGCGCGGCCCAGCGCCGCAATGATGCGCGCCCCCGAGCGGCGCGCGGCCGCGAACGACGGCGCGAACGACAGCGCCGCCGCCAACATCCACGCGCCGTAGATCAGCGCCTCCGACACGCTGCGAGGACATACAATGACATTACGTAAACTCTAACTCATGATCAACATACGACAGCGCCGCCGCCAACATCCACGCGCCGTAGATCAGCGCCTCCGACACGCTGCGAGGACATACAATGACATTACGTAAACTCTAACTCATGATCAACATACGACAGCGCCGCCGCCAACATCCACGCGCCGTAGATCAGCGCCTCCGACACGCTGCGAGGACATACAATGACATTACGTAAACTCTAACTCATGATCAACATACGACAGCGCCGCCGCCAACATCCACGCGCCGTAGATCAGCGCCTCCGACACGCTGCGAGGACATACAATGACATTACGTAAACTCTAACTCATGATCAACATACGACAGCGCCGCCGCCAACATCCACGCGCCGTAGATCAGCGCCTCCGACACGCTGCGAGGACATACAATGACATTACGTAAACTCTAACTCATGATCAACATACGACAGCGCCGCCGCCAACATCCACGCGCCGTAGATCAGCGCCTCCGACACGCTGCGAGGACATACAATGACATTACGTAAACTCTAACTCATGATCAACATACGACAGCGCCGCCGCCAACATCCACGCGCCGTAGATCAGCGCCTCCGACACGCTGCGAGGACATACAATGACATTACGTAAACTCTAACTCATGATCAACATACGACAGCGCCGCCGCCAACATCCACGCGCCGTAGATCAGCGCCTCCGACACGCTGCGAGGACATACAATGACATTACGTAAACTCTAACTCATGATCAACATACGACAGCGCCGCCGCCAACATCCACGCGCCGTAGATCAGCGCCTCCGACACGCTGCGAGGACATACAATGACATTACGTAAACTCTAACTCATGATCAACATACGACAGCGCCGCCGCCAACATCCACGCGCCGTAGATCAGCGCCTCCGACACGCTGCGAGGACATACAATGACATTACGTAAACTCTAACTCATGATCAACATACGACAGCGCCGCCGCCAACATCCACGCGCCGTAGATCAGCGCCTCCGACACGCTGCGAGGACATACAATGACATTACGTAAACTCTAACTCATGATCAACATACGACAGCGCCGCCGCCAACATCCACGCGCCGTAGATCAGCGCCTCCGACACGCTGCGAGGACATACAATGACATTACGTAAAC